TCCAAAAGCCCTTGGGGGATGTCCAACTGTCTGGCCTAAATTGGCAGTCAGACATCCTTCTCAAATCCTGGATTGCTGGTTCCTACTTGCTCACCTGCTTGCCTGACTGGTTGCCCCTAACTGCTCCCTGTTGCTGGCCTAGTCACACCACATTGCACCCCCTGCCAGCCTAATCTCCTTCAACTGTTCCCTTCCTTGCCTGGTTGTCCCCAACGGTACCCCACATCAGCCTGGTTGCCCCCAACTCCCTCCCCCCCACATCAGACTGGTCACCTCTTACTGCCGTGCCCCCCCTCTTCCCCCCCCCCCCCCCCCGCATCAGCCTGGTTGCTCCCAACTGCCCCCTGCCCCAGTGCTGGCATGGTCACCCCCAACTGTTCACCTCTGCCAACCTGGTTGTCCCACATAGCATATTTGTTCAGTCATTTGGTTGTCCCTCACTAACCTCCCTGCTGGCCTGGTTGTAGGCAGCCATCTTGTGAGGGTATGAGGATCAATTTTCTTATTATCTCTTTATTATATAGGTGTGACTGTAGGGCTAGATTTTTGTTAGAGTCTACCTCATTAGAAAGTTTTAAAGATATCTTCAAATAGTGTGAACATTACCTATTTTTGTTTTATATTATGTAATTGTACAAAGCATAAAGATACAAATACAATTATTTCATATTTTTGTTTCTGACTGTGCTATAATTTTATTTGCTAGATTGATCCTTTTCATATAATTTCTTAGAAGGCATCATAAAATGTTAATGAGTAGGTGAAGTACATTAAAGAAAGAAAGACTTGGTGGGAATAATAAAAGGGCATTTTGCTCAATGAAGCTTGTCCCTTTTAACACCCTTTTCCACCAGGATAGCATTGATTCTAATTACTTTTTAAAAGACCTGTATCCTTGCTTCAGTGACTTTGCCAGTTAAGCATATAAGTTATTCCCTAAGATTAACCCAAACCACAGCCTTCAAAATCTTTAATTAATCTGATCATCACATTCATTGTGACTAATTAATATTTTTCTTATATGAATAGTATTTATATGAGAAAGTGACCAGCTGAATATAAAACATGTATGTGTAGATGATTCTGGGAAAAAAATTGATTGGCATATAGATAGTTAGATACCATGATATCTGAGTTATCGATGTTGCCTAACATTAATAAGATTACCCAGAGAGTTTCTAAATCTCTCTTTTAAATTGTGTTATGCAGAGAGTTTACATTAGAAATGCTGCTTTTAACTTAGGAAAAGGACACACAAGCAATAAGGAATTTTCCTGCATCTAAGAAACTTCTATTGAATTTTAACCATTAAGCATTATATTAAGGTCTGCCTGCAATGTTTTAATACATAAATAAAGCAGTTACTAACTAGAGGCCCAGTGCATGAATTTGTGCACAGGTGTGGTTCAGCCAGCCCGATCAGAGCAGGGAGCAATCAGGGATGGAATGACTGGGTGGAGGGGCCATGGGCAGTTGGCAGGCCGCCCCTACTCCTCCGTTGAACCCTCAGTCGAGGGGACAATTTGCATATTAGCCTTTTATTATATAGGATACTATAGCTATTTTAATGCCACACAATTGTCCAGTATGAGAATCTTCACTGCACTCTGAAATAATATCTTTTAAATTTTTTAATCTAACACATTCTGTGTTATGATGTGTCAATTATAGCAAAGCAGATTATCCTATGAAAAGTTATTGTTCTCTTCAAAGTGAAGATAAAGTGTGCCACTTTTGAACATTCTCTCATTTTTATTCTTTAAATATTTTTTATTGATTTCAGAGAGGAAGGGAGAGGGTGAAAGAGATAGAAACACTGTTGATGAGATCTAATCATTGATGGGGTGCTTCCTGTATGCTCCCTTCTGGGAACTGAGTCCACAACCTGATAGGGGTGCATGTGAGCGGCAACCAATCAATGTATCTCTCTCGCATTTATGTCTCTCTCTCTCTCTCTCTCTCTCTCTCTCTCTCTCTCTCTCTCTCTCTCTCTCTCTCTCTCTCTCTCCCTCTCTCTCTCTCCCTCTCTCTCACTCTCTCTCCCTCTCTCTCTCTGTAATTCCCTCCCAAGTGTTTACAAAGATTCCATATGTGTAAGCAGCCATTTGATGAGTTTAATGCAATGGGTAAATGAAAAATAGTTTACTGCAAGCTACTCTTGTCAGGGTGACACTAAATCATTCTGAAAGCAGCATTATGTTCGAGCAACATGAGTGCAAACTAAAATATATTTTAAACCAGTTAGGGTAGGTTCTGGCTCTGTTTCAAAACTAAGTGCAGCTTGCAGTGTGTCAGGGGTGACAACTGTCAGTCATTCTGCACAGACTGTTACTGACCAAGGACAGGTAGATCCCATTAGATATAATGAGCTCACTACAAGGGTACATATTTATGGTTTCCTTGTCAGGTAAAATGTTTGTTTTCACTATAAATGGATAATTCCAACAGCAAAACTGTTACTAATCTATCATAAGCCCATACATAGTTTTCTATATTCATCACTATTACAATTTTTCTGTTGAATTTTAAAATCAATTTTAATGGACTTTTAGATTAAAAAAATAGATTATAGAGAGAAGAAGGAAGAGAGAGAATTAGAGATGCTATTTTATTTTGACCAAGCATTTATTGATGCCCTATTGTGTAGAACTGGATTTATTTTATTTTATTTATTGTCTAAAGTTTTACATATTTCTCCTTTATCCTCTCTTGACCCCCTCCCAACCCCTAGCCATTCCCAACCTGGATTTTTCTCTTGATTAAAATCTATGATATTAATATACATCTTAACAATAGTCATGGTATAATCTGCTTGAAAATTAGATAGACAAGTTAGTATTATAAATTATATTAAATTTTGTATTCAGTTGAATTTAGCATTATTACTCATTATCTTTTAAAAATATTTGAAATTCAGTTTTCTAATCCTGTAAAATAATAGCACTGTGTGAAAGTGATGTATATGTATATGCATATTGCATGGACTAAATGATAAACTAAATATAAAAGTACACTGTACTTTATAAAATGACTTAAATTTAATTATATGTTATGTTTAATGTATTATATCCTATCTATGATTTATAATTTTCTTTCAGACATACTTTCTTCACAGGGCAAAGGCCAGTGAACCAGGTCACATAATCTAAACTCTAGAACCAATATTTTAAATTGGTTCTGCCTAACCGGGAACTTGAACTGTATGTATTCTAACAATAGTAGTTTGACAGAGTAATAAATTTGACCCAGTCACTCATTAGAAATCAGTTTTCAATGGCTGGGCACTGTCCTGAACTCTTAAGTTTATAAGGACAATTCAAGTGTTGTTCTGTCTTAGTGCATACTAGGTGAGGAGATATGTACCTATGGAAATAAAGATAACATGAAAGGGCATAGGATAGTGCTATGTAATAGGAAATTAAGAATATAAACTCTGCTAATTCTGCAACAGGGTTAATTCTGCAGGGCTTTTAAACAAACAAACAAAAATTTTGAGTGTGGAGTATTCTAAGTTGAATTAAAGGTATGCAAAGTATTACTATGTTTTAGGAATGATCAGTATTCCACCCTGGTTGAACCTGAGGTGTACTGAGACCAACATTAAGAGATAAAGCTGGGGAGCCCTGGCCAGTGTTGCTCAGTTGGTTGGTCACCAGTTTGATTCCTGATCAGGGCACATGTCTAGATTGCAAGTTTGATATCGTTGTGGTATAGGAGGCAACTGATCGATATTTCTAAGTCACATCAATGTTTATCTCCCTCTTCCTCTCCCTTCCTCTCTCTCTAAAGTTAATTAAAAATATTTTTTAAAAAGAGATAAAGTTGGGGAAGGAATTTAGAACTAACTTGTGAAGAGTCATTACTGACATAACACATAGTCTATTTTATTACAGTTTTGAAACATTTTGTGTAAGAAGATAAAATATATATATATCTTTAAAAAGAGATATAGTTGGGGAAGGAATTTAGCACTAACTTGTAAAGAGTCATTACTGACATACCACATAGTCTATTTTATTACAGTTTTGAAACATCTTGTGTAAATAGAACATAAGGGACAGATCCCTTACAGGACTTTTTTAATTAAAAATCATTCTATAAAATGTTATCTATAGTTCTGCCACATCAAAAAATTCAAATAGAATTATTTATTTTTCCTCCTCATATAATCATACAGAACTGATACTTCTCCCTGAATTGCCTGCTAGTTTATGCTCTCCATTCTTAAGACTCATATTCTACTCCAAAATCCTACCTTATTCTATTAGTTGTAGCCTAATATTGGATTGTTGGATGGTGTATGTGTGTGAGTGTGTGTATGAAGAACATTCATTCCTAATATGAAGGATTTTATTTTAAATTTTAGTAAAAATAGGTACCTATACAATTATTTTGCCTGAGAATGCACATACCCATCAGTATTTTAAATATCTTTATGAATACCTTGGTAACTCATAAATACTTTATTTAATGCAGGATAACATCACCCAGTATAACTACATCATTTAAAAAAATATACATATATATATATATATATATATATATATATATATATATATATATTATTGATTTTTCACAGAGAGGAAGAGAGAGGGATAGAGAGTTAGAAACATCGATGAGAGAGAATCATCGGTCAGCTGACTCTTGCACACACCCCCTACTGGGAATGTGCCCACAACCAAGGTACATGCTCTTGACCAGAATCGAACCCAGGTCTTTCAGTCTGCAGGCCAACACTCTATCCACTGAGCCAAACCAGTTTCCACTGATGTGATACCAACTGAAACACACGTTGAACTCGGTGACAATTATCTACCAGGTTCAGGAGTCAGAAGGTAGAATGAATTCTTCAGTCTTGTTTATAGAAGGGAGACCATATGGCACAAAAACAAAATATTAAATTTAAGATAACAGTAACATGCAGCTATAGATGCAAGCATTTCATTTTGCTTTATATAAAGGAACAGTATTACATTCAAAGCAGGAGAACAGGTACGTACTCTGAGGAAAGCGTGGGGGGTTGTCGTTGACGTCAGTCAGGGTGATGTTGACCGTGGTGGAGCCTGAAAGCCCTCCGACTTGCCCAGCCATGTCTTTGGCTTGAATGACCACCGAGTAGTGCTCTCTGGCTTCTCTGTCCATGTTATGTAAGGCAGTTCTAATAACTCCTGCAACACATATTTTAAAACCCAGAATGGCTTATTCAATAATTGATAAATGGCATAGAAAATTTTATTCTTTTTTTCTGTTTTAAGAAATGTATTTTTAATGAAATACATTTGAAAGTAAAGCCAGGCTTCTGAGGCAAAGTGTACCTTATCAATGTTTCTTAACTGTCCAATTAAAACACATCAAGCACATTTCCTATTCATGGGAAATATAAGATGCCCATCTCTGCCTTCCCTGGGGTAGACAGCTACTATAGGGCAGATTGCAACCTGAGTATATTCATTCTGCTGGTGTGTTCGACACTTTTCACCTCGTGCTTCTCAGCTGAGATGATCTGAGATTAGTTTTCCTCTCTGCAGAGAATTTACATAGTATCTTGACAGTGATGTCAAAGTTTGATGATGGAAAATGTTGGGGAAGTGTGGATAGTTGAAAGAAGATGACAGGTGGGAAGCATTTTAACATATATCAAGATTAAGAAACTCACAAAATTTGGCAAGAAATAAAAACGGCAATAAGAACTAGATCTAAGTACATATGCAAAATAAAGTTATGATATTGAGTAAAATTATCACACATAATGGCACATTTTTTATTTTATAGGGACAAAGGAGACATTTAATGGACTTTATCATGAATTAATAATTAAATCCAACAGAGATTAAAAAGGTTATATATCTATTTTTAATTATGTGTAAGTAAACATACATATATGTATAAATTAGAGAGCCTTGTTAAGAGAGGCCTAAATTTAAAATTTAAACACATGTTTGAGAAGGCCAAGTTTACCCAAATACTATCTATACATATAAAGAAGTAATATGCTAATTTGTCCCTTATGGTATCCTAGTCACAACCAGTCTGTGGGCAGGGACAGGGGCAGGGACTTCTATCAATAACTCCAGGACTAACATCACCCAGCCTGCTTGAGTCCACCGTCAGTGCTGATGTGTTGCTGGTGATGCTGGGAAGGTTTGAGGGGGAACTGGGCTTGATGGGGGACCTCAGGCCACACCCCCTACCCCATCACTGGGCCAGGACACTTCAGGCTGTGCCTGCCCCTTACCCCAGTGCCAGGCCTGGGTACCTCAGGCCACACCTTCTGCCCAGTGGGTCTTGATGGGGGACTTTAGGCTCTGCCCCCCATCTCAGCACCAGGCAGGGGGACCTGATGCTGCACCTTCCCACCTGGCGGGACTTGATGCAGGATCTGAGGCTACACCCCCTGCCCAGTACCAGGCTGGGGGACCTGAGGCTGTTCTCCCCACTTGGAGGGGCTTGACAGGGTGGGGCCAGCCAGATCTGGGTCTCACCCAATGGGTGTGGGGCCAACTGGGTCTGGGTCTCCTGCATTTTCAAGTGAGGATGGTGGGTGGAGACTTGACTCTAAGTCCCATGACATGCCCCAGTCTCTGACAAGAGGAAGATTTTATATACATTTTACTAATTTTATTAAATCTCTGACACTTCTATTATAGAGAAGGGCAAATAGCAATATTAAAATAGTTCCTCTAATTAATTCCCTTTTAATGTTTATGAAGTTCGTTCACTGGGCCACTAGTTAAGTCATAAAATAAGAAAAACTGTCCTCAGGTAGATAATCTATCTTATAAATAAATATCTAAATCTATACGTATATATGCTTTATGGGGATGCAAATATTTAATATAAATATAGTTGCTATTTCAAACTTTTGTCTACATTTAACAACCACCTTTTTATTTTCATTTAAAAAAAATCTGGATCATGCTACTTTTGAGAATCACACCAATGGCTTCAATCACACACTTGATTAGTTAGCAGTGCAATTCATAGCATGATGCCAATTATAATAACTACTAAATATAGTGTTGAACTCGTTTGCAAACAATATCTTGATATAATGAGAGAAAATTGATTGTATATTCAAATAAAAAATAGTCTTTTAAAAGTGTAATGGAACAGCCAACCAGTTGTTTTGAATAAAAATACCAAACTTCTAGAATTTCTTTCTGAATTAATTTACTGGATGTGTAATGACTTTAAGAGAAGAGCCTTGGGCACCAGGAAAAGAGACCCCACAACTTTCAAAATTTGTGAATATATAATTGAAGAGTTCATAAAAACTTTCCTGAAGCTAAATCTGAAATGAAAATTATTCTTATAAAAAACTATAATTATATGATAATAAGTGATTCCTCTAATTCATGCATACAAAAAACCTCAAGCATTTTTATTAAAAAATAACAATGTATTAGAACATTTAATAATTATATAAGAAGGGATTGAGCTGATGCAGAAGAGAATGAGGTAAGAATTAATTAATATATTTTGTAAAATAAATATATATGTTCTAGTATTTGAAACATAATTAAGATGCCATTCAAAAAGAATACATCATAAGTGGAATTTACCTCTGGTGGGAAGAAGTATAAGATTATTTTCCAGGAAAATGATTTACAATGAAATAGTTAAAGTAATATTCTGTATACTATAAATATACAAGTAAAACATTAATCATTACAAAGTGAAGGATAGATACATGCAAAAAAAATAAAAACTGTACTACTCATACAATATTTAAAAATGTTTTAAGGACTAAAATGTAAATCCTAAAATCATAAAACTGGAAGAAAATACACCAAATAAACTTCCTGACATTAGTCTAACTAATCTTTGTGCACACATCCATTGAGCAAGGGAAACAAAAGAAAAAATAAACAAATGGGAATATATCAATTTAAAAGCTTCAGTACATTGAAAGAAAACTTCAACAAAACAAAAAGCAACTTACTGACTGGGAGAATATATTCACTAATGACATATCTGATACAGGATCAATGCCCCTTTTTAACTGGATTTTTTTTTCTTATTGAGTTTTAATAGTTATTTGTATTGTTTAGAACAGTCCTTTATCAAACATCTATTTTCCAAATATTCTCCCCCAGATTAGGCTTGTGTTCTTATCCTCCTGACAATGCAGTGTCTTCCACAATGTAGTTTTTAAGTTTTGTTGTGTTTTCTTTTGAAGTTCAGCTTTTTAATTATTTCTTTCATGGATCATGATTTTTGAGTTGATCTAAAAAGTCATTGCTAAACTCAAAGTCATAGAGACTATCTCCTATGTTTTCTTTTAGGAATTTTATATTTTTTGCACTTTATACGTAGGCCTGTGATTCATTTTGAGTTACCCCTTTTAAGGGTGTAAAGTCTATGTCATATTTTTGCATGAGGATGCTCATTTGTTTCAACACAATTTTTTGAAATATTATCTTTTCTCCATCAAGTGACCAAAAACTAGTAGAGCTCAAAAACTACATGCTAAAATCTTAAGAGTTCATATAGTGACCTGGATTACGTCACATACACCACCTCAACCACACATTGCTTCTCAAATGCATGTCCTTGAAAATAGCTCCTATCATGGGAACCACAGGTATAAGTAATATTTCAAGGGCAGAAGTTGGTAGAGGAACTTCAGATTGTTCCAGTCCAGCTGGAGGATAAATTGGTTTTGTTGACTTCCCCCAACAGCTATAACAACTAACACAGCTGATTCTAATGCAGGAAGGTCAAGATTATACATTAAAAAACCATAGTTAGAAAGATGAAGTTTTACCAGAATGTATTTATACTTTTGTTTACTTTTAATCTCCATCATGTCATGCCAAAAAAATGTATATATGGAAACACACACACACAAAGACAAAAAATAATGTGCAATGGTATTACATATATTCAAAACTATGAAGCCTAAACTCATGTGACAAGTTAAACTGTATTTACACAATGCAAGTAAGAAATGAAGTCTTTGTTTTTTTGGGTTTTCTTGCCATACATTCATATACACACAATAGTAATCTACTTTACTTTTGTCTTCCAAATAAACCTAATAAGGACATAAACATGGCCTTTTCATTAAGTAAATTTGTAAAGAAATAAATATGAAGTAGCTGTGGCTCGATAGTTGAGCATCCACCTATGAATCAAGAGGTCACAGTTGGATTCCTGATCAGAGCACATTTCCTGGTTGCATACTCCATCCCCAGTGGGGGGCATGTGGAAGACAGCTGACTGGTGACTCTCTCTCATCATTGATATTTCTGCCTCTCTCTCCCTCTCCTTTCCTCTCTGAAATAAAGAAAATTAATTAATTAAAAATATATATAAGCCGAAACTGGTTTGGCTCAGAGGATAGAGCATCGGCTTGCAGACTGAAAGGTCCCAGGTTTGATTCCTGTTGAGGGCAGGTACCTTGGTTGTGGGCACATCCCCAATAGGGGGTGTGCAAAAGCAGCTGATCAATGATTCTTTCTCATCGATGTTTCTAACTCTCTATCCCTCTCTCTCCCTCTCTGTAAAAAATCAATAAAATATATTTTTAAAAGTATATATATATATATATATATATATATATATATATATATATATAGCAGCTAAAGTAATTATCATAAATTACTGCATTGCTCCTTTGTTTGAAACAAAGAAAACTCTTCTGTTTACAATAAATGTTAGGTAACTGGTAATGGCATATAGTGAATGTTTGCAAGACATGCTTCACTAGCAATGTTTACATCCAATTGTTAACGGGAATTGTTGCCTTTCATTCTACTGTGATGCTGGGTTGAATCAACAGGATGTGATTACCATTGTATTATGTTGTTTTGTTTCTTATTACTTTCCTAGTAAATGATTGCAGGTGCCCCACTGCCTGCAAATTACCTATTGACTACTGCTTCCCAGTCACCTTGATATGTAGGGGCTTGTAACGGAATTACTCTCTGCTGAATACAAGTTCATAACATTGAAAACTCATCTGTGGATATAAACATTGCTTGTGGAATCCAACTCACAGGACTACCATATGTGTATGTTCCCTGAAAGATGAGATTCATATAGAGCAAGATTCTCCAAAATGTTTTCTGAGATTCTTACTCACTAAAAACAATTTAAGATTGAAATGTAAAAATTTAGTTTGATACTGCCACAGAAGATTGCAAAATAAAATCTCTAAAAGGCT